TGACTACAGTATGCTCGACTGATGAAAACCTGGCCGATCAATCGTAGTGACTGAAAACGTGTAAAAATAGACACCATGACATTTCTGCAGCTCTTCATCACCCTCGTGAAGTTTCCTATTGTTATTTAATGGACACTTTCAGATCTGCTGCAGTGTTTCACTGTGTCTATGTACTGCATGTGCATGCTGCAAATATGGGTACTGATATGTTTTTACGTTTTTCATTATTATTAAGTGGATCCATCTCCAATCTTATGTTAATTTGATGTATTCTACTTCATCTGCTTTTCATCTTATTTTTATTATCTACTATTATAGGCAATTGTGTTTTATTCTCCATCTAATTTGCCATTCATATGTAAATCTGAATATATGTTCCCTTGTTGTAAAGCACATTGTGCATTTTATGAAATGTTGTTTATTAATATAATTATTATATTACCTTTATAATCCATACCCAAATCTACTTCATTAATTCATTTTCATGCTATTTTACTCAATTATTACATTTCCTGGCCTATTGATGTTTTTTTAGATGTTTCTGCTAAATTTGTATTGCAGCCTCTATCACACACAAACACACACACTGCAACGGAAGTGAAACTACATCAGGTTTAGTTTCACTCTCAGTGCAATCATAAAACCAACACAGCCAGGCCTGCATCACACAATCTGAAACTCTAACCCTTTTATACTGCACACACACCATGATGATGATGATGATGTGTATCGCAGCTAAACTGTACGACACACCGTGTGCAGAAACACATCCATCTGCTGCCTGCTAACGTGCAAATACACCCTTACTCGTAAACAATATTTGGGCGAAGTCTCTTGTGTTTAGGGCCCAGGAGTGAGTTATGGAAAACCAGGCAGGGACCACAGGGAGGGTAATGAAGTGAAGGGAAGAGGAGGAAGCAGAGCATGCGGGGAGGGAAGGAGGGAGGGAGGGCGCAGTCAGTGCACTGCAGGCCGTGATGCGCGAGCAGGACGGAGGCAGAAGAAAACACTGGGGGAGATGTTCCACAAGACAAAAAAATATATACAATGACCGTGCCATTTCCCGCACTGAAACATGTCGAAACTTAACTAAGAGGTTTAGAAAAAAACAACAACGGTGATTTAAAACATCAAAGAGTGATTTAGCTTAGACAGGGAGGCGGTTTTAGCAGCCATATTTCTGCGTAAATCCGCTTAATAGGCAAAGTACTCCCGGCGATATCGGGCACTTAAAGCCATTAAGATTAAAAGCAGAGGTATTCACTAATGGAGCTGTAGTGACCTCAATGTAATTCACACACACACATACACACAAATGCACTCACACGCACACGCACACATGGACGCGCACATACACAGAGGAACAACACCCACATATCCCCAGTAGTCGTACACTCCCTGTAGCGAGGTAAAAAAAATGAAAGCCTCGTTAACTAGATTTCAGCACCCCGGCAGTGGACAGCACCGGGACTCACCGGCCTCTGTCCGTCTGCAGGAGGCTCGAATCACCGGGGCTCTACGGCCTCTCCAAACATGGCGGCTCAACCTGCCTTAGCACTGATATGGGAGGCGCAAATCTCGGGCCTTTTACTCCGAGGGGGGGTTAAAACGAGCAAAGAAAGACACACTTACTTCATCTGTTTGACGATGGTGCTTTTCCCGGACTCTCCGCCGCCTGTAAAATAAAACGGAGGGCACATTGAGAGCCGGCAGAGAAATCAGTACCACGGAGAGCACCTCTCCCCGCCCCATATGCAGCCCCGCCACTAACCCCCCTCTCGCCGGGCCGCCGCAGCAGCACCGGAGGCCCCGCGAGGAGGCTCTTCTCTTACCGAGCAGTAGCAGTTTCACGTCCTTGGCGGCCACCGCCCCGTCATCCTTCAGGTTCCTTTCGATGGCCTTGCTCCGGTCCAGAGCGGCGCGCTCCTCGGCGCTCAGTGTACATCCCATGTTTCCAGGCGAGTGAGCGATCCCGTGGTCTCTCCTCACCCACTCTCTCAATCAGCGCGTTGTCTCTCGGCTCTCCTCCCCGCGCTGTCCGCTACAGCATTAGGCCCGGATTGAAACAGATCCGGGTCCCTTTTCTCTCTTTTTCTCCGTGACTCTCCGTGTGCCTCTCTGCGCGCTCCGGATCCTCTCTCAGAGGGGGTTGGGGGGTGGGGTCGTTGTGCTCGAGCCTGCGGGGCTGGGGTTGTTGTTAGGTGGGGAAGGGAGGCTCTCTCTCTCTTTCTCTCTCTCTCTCTCTCTCTCTCTCCCTCTATAGGGCGGCGCTGGTGATGGTGATGACAGCGAGCTATCTTTCCACGAAGGCAGCACAAGGGAGGGGGGGGGGGAGGAGGAGGGGGGGGGGGGGCACGAGAGGAGAGGAAGAAGACGAAGGGAATCAGTGCAAGCTGCGCGAGACTCACCTAAACGCTTACGTCAGAGCAGCCGGGGTTTTAATCACGTCCTGTAGCAGATTATTCAAATGAAAGAGTTTAATGGCAAATGCTGCCCTCGTGTCTCTTGCTATTAGTGCAAATGTGCTTTTGTTGAAATTAAAGCGCCTAAATACCAATATCACCGTATTAGACACGGATGTAATGCTATACAATGGGCGGTTCTAGGGGGGGGGGGGGGGGGGGGGGGGGGCAGCAAGGGGCCAGTGTTTAGAGGTTGGACCCCCCTGTGCCCCCCCCCCCCTGAAAGAATCATCTGATAATACCATTTGTGATACTGTTGCAGAACTGTGCTTTGACTTGAGCCATAGTTAAAAAGAATGATTTCAATAATGTCATAACATTTTCATGACACATAACTACTAACAATCGATTTTACTTCCCAAATGTGATGTGCCCATCCCATATTATAACTGGGTTTTGTCTTGGTTTTTAGCCTCAATTGTTAAAAAAGAATAACACCCTTGTTAAAAAATATGTCACAAGCCACTTTAAAACTAATGTTTAAAAAATGGTTGAAATACAGTCAGGCTTTTAATTCATTTGGAATGATCGTTTTCATATCGTTTTATGTCAACAGATGGAAATTTGCATTTATTTATTGTACACTATCCATATTTTAAACCAATAAGATAATAAATAAAACATTGCAATGACAATGACAGTGTTCAACGAAGATAAACTGGTTTGTGTTTTAGTTTTTTTTGTTATTAGCCTATAGTAAAATAGTCAGATGATCTATTGAAAGATATACACCACAAAAATAGAAGGTGAATCTTTACTCAATAAAGGTCAATCGTGCATGGTACCAATGTTTATCAAAACCACTGGGTCATCAAAATCAATGATGTTTTAGAACATTTGGATATACAGCCAATACGTGTATGTTTTACCCATTAACAATGAGTCACTCGTATTTAGTCATAAATTAAATCAAGAGCTTTTCTTCGGGTGGAATCATTTGTATTTAGCTTTACAGTAGTAGTAAAAACAAATGGGGGAGGTTTAAATCATTTTCCTCAGTAATACTTAATACTAAAGTATGTTCAACCAGTAGAATGAACTTTAAGTATCAAAGGTAAAAGAACTGATACTGCGTATAGCTTTGTATTTTATTTTATCATCATATGTTTTGTTTATAATAGCTTGATCTGCAAAGTAACAGATGTTAAATTAATGCAGGAGAGTGGTAGGATAAAGCAGAATAAAATGGAAATACTTAACGCACCAGTTCCTCAAACTGTATGCCTGCTTAAGTAAAGTACACGAGTATGCATGTGAACTGGATGTGACCCGGTACATATATGCATGTATATCGTTACTGTTGTTGTTGTAGATACATACCTACTATTATTATTATTATTTGTTACATTATGGACATTATAGATTTTATTTTTGTACTCCTGGAGGTAATTGCTGCACTTTGTTCCTTGTTCCTGGGTATGTATGCTGTGTGTATTTGTTGTCTTGTGTTGTGATGTTTTTTTTGTTTGTTTTGATGGCACCCTTTGGGGGGAGAAGCATTTATTTATCTCATTGTACCTGTATAATGACATTAAACGATTCTATTCTATTCTATTCTAAAAGTACTTAGTAAATCATTGGCACAAATATCCCATCACAAGAAAAGTCATGCATTCAAAATCATATTTAAATAAGATTCAAAGTATTATCAGCAAAATATCTTTGTAGGTATCAAAAGAATCGCTCCATTCAGAATATTATTATTTAATATTAAACGATGAGGTTATTATAACGAATACTGAAACTAAGTATAATCCGTATCAATTGTGGGAGTGCAGTTGTTCTTTTTGTGGACTTTCTTTTGTTTACAAACTCGATCTCCTTACATAAAAAGAGGCAAATGCTAAATAGACAAAGTTAAAGATACATTTTGACTAGATGCATTTCTTTCACATATTCTAGACATCTCAATGATGTGAATATCATGAATGACTTTAGCCACAATAATAGTGCAGTGAAAATCTGATATCTGACAGCTCTAATGTGTGTAAACACGTCTATATGTCATGCATATTACAGAGGACATAACCTCCTGATAACAGCAGACATACAGTGAGGCGTGTGGGTTTATCATAACTTATAAAGCGGCCTATGTTGGGGGATGTGGCTGTACCATATAGCAGTAAGGAGTGTTTGTGTGTGATAAAAGCTTCTAATCCACACATCACATCTGGATGGATGGTCAAGTAGAGTAAAAAGGGGGGTTGGGCTTTTATAGTGGACCCTGAATAGAAACCAGCAGAAGAGCTCAACCTGAAGAGACTTCATCCATCAGTGAATTTCCTCTGAGATACAACGTCCAACACGCACACAAACACACACACACATAATCACACACACACCAACCTCCACCTCTTTGCCCTGAAGCTCCTACAACATGAGCACACACATTCAGCAACAACATAAGTGATCAGCACAGTTTAATCATATGAGCTTGTGCATGTGTGTGTGTGTGTGCGTGTGCATGTGCGTGTGTGTGTGTGTGTGTGTGTGTGTGTGTGACAGGGAGTTAGGATTAACACAAAATTATACCTGAGG